TGCGTTCTACCAATTTTAATGTATGGAAGTCAAACATGGGCCTTAACAAAAAACATAACCAATAGAATTGCTATTTGCCAACGAGCAATGGAAAGAAGCATGATAGGAGTGAAAAGGGAGGATAAAATAAGAAACACTAACATTAGGAAAAAGACTAAGACACAAGACGTAACTCTAAAAATAAAAAGGCTAAAATGGAAGTGGGCGGGACACATGGTCAGAGGAAAAGAAAAATGGAGCAAAATAACTACACATTGGTACCCAAGGGAAGGCAAGAGGAAAAGAGGCAGGCAACAAAAAAGATGGGACGATGATATCAGGCAGGTTGCGGGCATAACATGGAGTAGAGTAGCCAGAGAGAGATCAGAATGGAGTAGATTAGAGGAGGCCTTTGCCAACTAGCAAACGGACATACAGAGAGTAAACAAGCACCAAATACACCAATTTTAATTTTCTAAAATACTTATATATAAATACATATATCAGTATAAGTGCAGTAATATAAGAAACTTAATTTGTATATCTGTTATCCGAATAAAGGGCTCTATTATTATTATTATTATTATATGAGGGCGGTGTCGCCGCTGGCAGCCGCGGGCAGAACCACCGACAAGACGCACGAGGCGCGCGGCTGCTCGCTTCACCGCGGGCAGGCGGCGGCAGTGTCGCGACCTTTTCTAGCTTTTCAAGCCATACTGATCTTTTAAGTATATCTAAGATAAAGTTTAAAATTATTTCACACTGAAAGTGCTCGCCGCGACGCTGCCGGCCGCTGCCATTCCGGTGTGACTCGGCCCTAACACTAACAAATTCTCTCAGGTTGAGCTCATGAGCTCACTCGTCCAGGCATCGCTGGAATATCCTCTTAGTGTACCAGCGAATAGGTAGGGAAAAAAGTAATCTCATTACGAATGGACAATATATTTCGGTTGCAAGTCATTGGATAGAGGCGTCCTAGTATGAACAGTCGCGGTCAACATTCAACAATGGCCACGTTCGCCACTAAAGCCCAGGCGAGCAACCCTACAACTTACATACACTATACACTTATAGTTACCCATGTAGATGTTTTAGGTTTCTTATTCTAATTCTAAAAATACTATTGTAAAAACAAATTCCATGTTGGTGTAAATTAAAACAAAAACACAATAGACAATAACCTATGACAGTAGGTATTTACGTCCTCTTACGCAATACATTTTTAATTTTAACTTATTAATATTTTTAATGTTACGACTTTGTTATTATTATTATCCAACTATTTTGCTGTTTTTTCTTGCATCGTGTACCGATCGTTTCGTACGAGTAGGTTTTTTTTTATTTTTATTGCTTAGATGGGTGGACTAGCTCACAACCCACCTGGTGTTAAGTGGTTACTGGAGCCCATAGACATCTACGACGTAAATGCGCCACCCACCTTGAGATATAAGTTCTAAGGTCTTAGTATAGTTACGACGGCTGCCCCACCCTTCAAACCGAAACGCATTACTGCTTCACGGCAGAAATAGGCAGGGTGGTGGTACCTACCCGTGCGGACTCACAAGAGGTCCTACCACCAGTAAAAAGTACCATTTTTTCAGATATATCTTGCGAAGCCATCCTCCATTCTGGCGTGAGCCGACCTTATTTCAATCGATTGGTGTGTGTGAGCTGGGCGCAGTCCCCTCGTCTGTAAACGACTGACGCCGACAAATAAATGTTAAACGAACAAACGATAATTTCATTGCTGATGGTCGTTGCAAAAACTGTCATAAACATATGTTAAACGTAAAGCAAGTTAAAGTTTGAAGAGCAGCTGTAGATGTGCTACATTCTGCTAGAGTTTGAAGATTAGTGCGGCAACCGCTCGTTATGGACGCACGATTTATGATTCCCAGAATTCGCCAGAGGTCTCCATATGCTGGCGACCCAGACAGACCTCGTGCTGTACACACGACGTATAAGTGAAAACTTTTTTGAATTATTTGTAGCAACTTGGACCCTTTTGAAGATTTTTTAAATATATTTTTTAATTACAATATCGAGTTTTGAATCTAAAATAAGTATTATCGGATTCACTGGAACGTACACAAAAAAATCATCAAGATTGGTCCAGCCGTCCAGGAGCTCATTAAACATACACACGGACAGAAGAATTATGTAATATATACATATACTTCAACAAAGGAGCTATTAAGGATATAAAACTTAGACTCTAATAACAATAAGATTTTATGGTCTCCCTGATGTGATGACCAGTGCATTCATATCGAGTTGCATTCATACGATCAGGGTTCAAATGCCATAGACTGGTTTACATATCACTAAGTTTTATCATACATACCTGACTTGTGTTCAGAAATCCCTTTTTCCTTTGTGGGCAGTTAGCGTTTCACCTGATGGTGAGTGGTTACCGTCGCTCATGGACGTCAGCAATGCCAGGGGCAGAGCCGAGCCGCTGCCTACCGCATAATACTCTCCACAAGCCTCGTTTGAAGAAGGACATGTCATAGCGCTCAGGAAACAACACGGAGGCGAGATTATTCCAAAGCCGGATGGTAGAAAGCACACTGGACAAACGCAGTGGTTCTAGGTAGTATGGATGGACAATATCTAGAACATTCGAGAGAGCAGCTAGCCTTGTGTTCGACCTATAGGATGACCGATACCTTTGCACTGTAAAGGTAAACAGGTCAATCATTGTCAAGGTCCAAGCAACGATATTCGGTATTAAACTTTCTACTTTGTAAATAAGCTTAAGTTATTATTTCAATAACGACGAAAACAAATCTAAAGTAGCTCATGGAAGAGAAATATGATATATTCGATGTGCAAGCCCGGGTGTGAGCTACCCATCAGCCCATGCGTGTCCACCGCTGGACGTGGCCAGTGTGACCAGTGCTGCTGTCCAGGGGCGGTCTCCTTCTGTTCTTACGTTAATAATAGGACAGATGTTGCTTTGCGAGTGGCGCTTTATAAGACTTAATAAAACTGCCACGGATACTGTTTAAACGCCATTACAAAAACAACGAAGGAATACTTAATGTCTGTTTAGTGGAGAATGTGGTGCGGGAATGAGATGAACCATTCAGGTTATTCAATAGACTTCAAAAAAGATGGAAGCTTTCAATTCGCCTCTATTTTTATGTGTTTTAACGTCAGAACTTTTTTATAGGTGTACTCATTTAAAAAAATGAAAGCTTCTCGTTTTAAATTTAATCAAGTTCTGATCGGCAGCTTTTGAGTTTATCTTTAATAATGCGTATCGAGTTTCAGATAAAACTGAGTTTAATTTAATTAATTAATAAATATTACATAATTCAATTAATCATTTCATTTTTTATTAAAATTTTAGTTTACTCTTTCATTTCATTAAAACGTAAGCATTGACTTATGAAGACTGATCGATGTGTTATGTTGTGTTCATTTTTGAAGTGAAAACTTCTTTAGAATCGTTGTGATTTCAAACCGGATGCAACGGAAAAAACGACAGGTAAGAGACACAAATACAAAAATGTGTAGGATGAAGCCAGCAAAGAGTGAGACAGAAATATACATACTATTTAATACAGCGCCATCTGTGAGATTTTTTAATACTAACGTGTGTATGAAAGCTCTTGTAGTGAATTTTAANAAAACTTCTTTAGAATCGTTGTGATTTCAAACCGGATGCAACGGAAAAAACGACAGGTAAGAGACACAAATACAAAAATGTGTAGGATGAAGCCAGCAAAGAGTGAGACAGAAATATACATACTATTTAATACAGCGCCATCTGTGAGATTTTTTAATACTAACGTGTGTATGAAAGCTCTTGTAGTGAATTTTAATTTGGGATTATACGTGAAATTAAAATATCAATTCACAGAGGGCGCTACCTTACAATTATTTACTAATGACAACATTTTACATATACTTAAGACGTTTAGGATAATTGTATTTTAATTTTGGAAGGTTTCACTTCTACCACGTGTGAATTGCACACATGTAATTTTTTTTTGATATTGATTATTATTTATATAATACCTATAAAACCTTAAAACGAGTAGCTAACTGTAAGAAAGAATTGCTTGTATGAATTCTTGTGAAACCTATAATGCACAATTAAAGATAAATCATTTGTATTCCTATTTGTATTTGATATTTACTTACTTTCTTAAAAAAATATATATCCGTAACCGAAACTATCGGATAATCCGAAATAATTTAATTTGCATAACCGTAATCGTTATAATATAATATTTCATATATCCGTATTCACATCCGGATCCGAAATTACATATCCATCCATCCCTGGTTTAAGCGACATTTTTGCAACTATACAGGAGAGCCATTTAAAACTTAAAATTTTGACAAAAATAACATAACAAAAAACTTCTTCACCTATTTGAATGCAGTAAACTTAATTAAACTTCAATTAAAAACATCGAACTGTTGATGCTAATACCAAATAAACATCTTCATCTTCACCAAATAAACATCACAAAGATCTTGTATTAAGATCTGTCTTGTATTAAGCGAAATGACGCTAAACCTTAAGCTTTTCAACCCCCGATATTGACTTTATCAATTACACTGATAAAATTCTTACGGATATGATGTGTTGTTTACACAATCACTCGCACATTGGTTTTTTATAGCATTATTAACTCAACAATGATTATTTTCTGAGTTCGGTTTTCTTTTTTGTTGATATTTTTTACGTCTATATTTGTTTTAAAAAAATTAAAATTTCTACTCGCAAATAGGATGTGAAATGGACTATTGAAAATACAAATTTTTATACACAGGTTTGTCGTTATTTTTGGTAGTTTTTTGTTTTATCGATGTTAGTATTCACACTGACGTAGAAGGAGTCAATTGTACGTAATTATTTCTTTATTTCTATTACGGCCTAAAGGCATCAATCACACCACAAAACGTGACATCTTTAGATGTGTGAGGTGCCTTATGTCAGCGCGTCACAACAATAAAGCAAACTGAGCTAATAACTAGACCGCGGAGCTCCGCGCTCAGTCAGAGTCGCGGCGCGGTGCAGTCCACAGTGGAAATTGTGTTTCGATATCATTTTATTTCTTTATACATTTTTTGGGAATCCAAAACGGTGAGTAGTGCTCTTATTTATGTACACAGGGTGTTGGGTTTTGTTCCTGAAACAGAAGGGAATGGAGTTTCGCCATTTCATTGCTGAGCTATACATAGAGACTTGTCGACGAGCTGACGGAACACTTGGTAATAAGTAACTAAGGTGCGTGGTGCAACTGCCTACCTCAAAACACCCTACCAACAGCCATTACGCCACTGGATGATGGACGAGCTAACGGTCCACCCTGTTTTAAATGGTTAGCGATTCCCTTAGACATAATATGTAAATTCCATCTTAGGACTTATATGGTTTATCCCAATCGTATAGTAATTACGCTAATTATGATTTTTGCGGGTTTGTTTTTTGCAACACGCACTCCTTTCATCGTGGACAGCCACTCGTGAGCACGAGTGCAGCACATGCTCCATTAGATTAATGTGCACCTGCCCTGATCATCGCCAGACACAGCTGTCTTATCTTCTAGTCTACCCTGACATCATTTTGTAGTGAAATCTTTGTATCGCATTTTGTGACCGCGCGATCTAAGCTGAACGGGCTCCCCCGCGCTCGAGGGCGAACGAGGACCTACCCGACGCCCGTCCACTACAATACTACCTACTACTATCTACTACTAGCTACTACTACCACTACAATACTACTAATACAAACTGTACTGTTAAAACGGAGACCTTACAACACACGTCTCGTGGTGGATGGAAGCATTTTCGTTGTGGATGTCTAAGGGTTGCGTTTACCACTTAACACTATCACCTGTTTGTTGTGTAGGCCCAGCAGCTGGTGATCAGTAGTTATATATTTTTTTAATCATTAATGTCACTTAGAAATGAGGTCGGATATGGATGTACTCTGAGACGACAGAGACAGACAGAGAGGTCCTTGTAGCTCCAGCGATTACAAAATTCAATAAAATGTAAGTTTGTGTTACTCGTAGTTCAGACAGTGAGATGATATAAGAAGTCTTTACTGATGGTAGGACCTCTTGTGAGTCCGCACGGGTAGGTACCACCACCTTGCCTATTTCTGCCGTGAAGCAGTAATGCGCTTCGGTTTGAAAGGTGGGGCAGCCGTCGTAACTATACCGAGATTTTAGGACTCATATCTCAAGGTGGGTGGTGGCATTTACCTTGTAGATGTCTATAGGCTCCAGTTACCACTTAACATCAGGTGGGCCGTGAGCTGGTACACCCATCAGGGCATAAAAATATATACTAGCGGACCCGACAGACGTTGTCCTGCAAAAATTCATTCAAGTCGATCCAGCCGTTTAGTTGCAGTACAGTTAAATAATCTAGACACCGACTGCAGCGCCGTCTGCCGGGCTGATTTGTGAATCTAAAACATCCAGGGCGCTACTCAAAGGAATACAAAAAAAATATTCAAATCGGTCCAGCCGTTTAGGACGAGCTCATTGACAAACACACGCACAGAAGAAATATACCTAGTCAGGTCATAAATTCTGTCACATGTTTAATGTAAAATAATTGAAACAAGTTTATTCATTATGTAAAAATTCATATACCAAAATGAACTTAACAAAACATAGATTCTTATGACACTAAAGTTTATTCAAAATGACCTCCGTGATTTTGAATACAGGCCTTCAATCTGCGCGGCCAGTCGTCTATCGCTATCGAACGAGCTCCATGTCAATATCGGCGGCTGCCTTAATCAAGGATGTCTTGAGTGACTCCAAATTGGGATGAGGCTTTGAGCACGCCTTTTCCTCCAAATGTTGCCATATCTTGTAATCTAACGGATTAAAATCTGGACTGGAGGAGGGCCAGTCTTCGTGCCGGATGAAGTCGATTTCACGCGCCGCCAGCCAGTCTTGTGTGCTCTTCGCTCTATGAGCTGGCGCCGAATCTTGTTGGAATACCCAGTGCCTGTTATTGAACATGGTATGAGAAACAGGTTCCACAAGGTTGGTCAGGACTGTATTTTGATACACAACTGCATTCGTTTTTACACCTTTCTTACAAAAATGTACCTCTGTTAAGCCCCAATAAGAAACTCCCAACCATACCATGAGCGAGGATGGAAAATGACCTCGTTGAACACGCGGAATACGGTTGCTCGCTTCTTCACTACTGTGTGCGTACACCTTATCATTTTGTTTGTTGTAGCTCTCTTCTACGGTAAAAAATATTTCATCCGAAAAAAGAATTTCCCGATATTTTTTTCCCGCGTACCGCTTCAACAAAGCGCGGCATCTCTTCAGTCTCAGGTCCATTAGACGAGCATTCAAACGATGTCCTGTTTTTCTTCGATATGCCCGAAGCCCTAAGTCTTCATTTAACACCCTTTTCACTGTGGTTCTGCTTAACCCCATCTGAAGGGCCAACAGTTTCTGCTTACGTTTGGGATTTCTTTGAATTCGCGCCTTCACAGCTTTTATCACTGCTGGAGTCCTAACAGACCGAGGGCGACCACTTCTTGACCTGTCATCTACACTAGAGTCTTCATTGTATCGTTTGATGGTACGATAAACGAATCTTTTGGTTATATTAAAATTTTTCAGTATGTTAAAAATTTGAATTGGCGCGTAACCGCAACGATGCAACGCAATGACTGCAACACGGTCTTCTTTAAGCGTCCACTCCATATTTAGAAATGAGTAAAATTCTAAAAGTATACATTTTTATTTTCATGAACAATTCGAAATTCGAATTCAATAAACTTTTTTGTGACCAGCATTCTAAAAGAAAAGTTTTTACTGTGTGACAATACTTATGACCTGACTAGTTATAATATATAAAGACTAGCTGACCCGGCAAACGTTATTTTGCCATATATAAGATTGCTAGGGAATTTCTAGTGTAGAAAAAGAAAACCTAACTAATTGTAAGTGTGTAAGAATATGATAAATGAGTGAAAGATGGCATGTAGCGCTGTGAATGATGAGGGAATATAAAAATAACAAAACCTCATTCAATCACATAATGCCTTATTACGAGTATAACAAAAAAAAAATGTCCAAAAAATAAAAAATAAATGTTAGGGGTGGACAACCCTTATCACTTAGGGGTATGAAAAATAGATACCTAGTAGCCGATTCTCAGACCTACTGAACATGCATATAAAATTTCATAAAAATCGGTCAAACCGTTTCAGAGGAGTATGGTAACTAACATTGTGACACGATAGTTTTATATATAAGATATATACACTGATGATACCTGTTCATTACTACCGCGACTATATTACTCACGATCACTCGTGTTAGTTCGTAGGAGCTGGGCAGATGCAGCTGTAGCTACTGTGCTACAAGATTGGCAGTCTCATGTCTCATGATGGGTGGCAACATCCACGTCGTTGATATGCATGAGCTCTGGTAAACCACTTAGCACCAGGTAGCCGTTGCACCACAGATATGATCAATTTTATGTAAAAAACTTTGGATCCGTCGTTCTGTATAGCGTGTGACATTGACACTGGCAATGTCAGAGACGCAACCGGGCCTCTGCCTTCCGCTAGCCACTATTTGAACTTAAAATACACTTGGAGACGTGTCGCGCATTGAGGTCGTTACAGTTAGAACATAATAATATTATTATTTAATGGGCGGCAACTCATCTTTTTCGTGTTCTGGGTGGACAGACGAACGGCTCATCTAATGTTAAGTCTTAATATGGCCTGAAGTAGATTACGTTTTATCATATATTGAAACAATAATATATTAGAAACATGACTCCAATCGAAATTATGTAATTTAAATGCTTTTTGAGAGGTCTGTGTAGCTATCCAGCTAGTATTTCTTATTGCTAAGTTGGGTGGACAAGCTCACGGCCCACCAGGTATTAAATGATTACTTGAGCCCATAGACATCTACAACATAAATGCCGCCACCCAACTTGAGACAAGAGTTCTAAGGAGTCAGTATAGTAACAATGCCTACCCCGTCCTTTGACCCGAAAAGAATTACTGCTTCACGGCAGAAATAGGCGGGGTGGTGGTAACTACCCGTGCGGACTCACAAGACGTCCTACCACCAGTAGGACACAATGTGCGGGTAATTATTTAGCTACGTCATTTTAAATGTAGAAACAGATGAAGTAGTGATGTTGAAAGTTGAAGTTATCAATATCTGCGGTTGCTATGAACTTAATGCTTACCTGTTATTGTTAAGAGAGTTTTAACTATGAATGTAGAAGGCTTTTGAGGAAGAGGTAGATCTAAGAATAAATGGATGGATTTCGTGAAAGACGATTTGTGGTAGAGGGGAGTGAGCGAAGAAATGGTGTATGATAGAGGAGTATGGACCCCAGGTGAGTGGGAGAAGGGCAGGAGAATGATGATGATGAGTCTACTTGTCGCTCGGAGCACGTAGAGCAGCAAACCGACGCATTAAATTACGCATTGTCTCGTTTTAATTAACACTTCATAAACGTGAGCGAATGTTTCCGCCGTCTCGTACAAACAACCATTTTACACCTATTGAACATGTCGTCACTACTCAATTATGAATAGGATATTGTGTTGTTTGTGATTAATGCTGTGACATAAAACAGTTCCTTGTGCGACTCGTCAATAGGGAAGAGCCTACACCTCTGTCTTGCGAAAGAGCACCCAGGTGAGTGATGACCGCACTTCCCGACCGGCGCTGGTTCTCACGCAGCGAGGTACCAAGTAAGCTTCGTCTAATTCGACGACTATAAGCCCGGTGGGGATGCTGACGCTCAGCAAGAAAAGCTTCAGCTTCCCCCGGACGCCACTGACGAGACGGCGAGCTTTATGCTTAACCGCCTACCATTCCCAAAGCGGAGACGAAAGTCGGGCGAATTCCTCTTGACTTACCAAGAAAAGCGTGGGCGTCACAACCCTGTCTCTTTCGGCTGAGAAGCTGTGTCTAAGTCAAGAGGGTGGGAGATCAGCTCTAACACCGAGAGTACGGCCTCGTGCTCCAAGGTACCGGGGACGCCGGTTGCCCCGTGAGTTTGCTTTCCCATTACTAATAATAAGTAGCTCTTCGATCACCGTTTTTGTGTTCTTATATCAGT